AAAAGACAAAATCATTCACCACATACATGAAGATCAAGAACTGCCCTAATAAACCGAATCGGTTACTTTAAGTATTTAGGCTGGACGATCCTCTAAAATGGTTAAGCACACTCGCATCAACAACGCCAAAAAGACTTCATTGCAGCTTCACATATCTGCACGGAAGCACTCGAAATTCAGGCTTCCAAAGAATTCAGTATATATACAGTGACCGCCTGATCTGTACTAACATACGTCTTTAAGCCATGCACCATCTACAGATTAGAGCTGATAGCAGTGCTTCGGATACTAGTGACTATTTCTTCTGCACACTTGCTCTACTGGTATTACCCAACTCATGTAATAAACAACAGATTGGCCAGTTATCTTAGAAGTCCACTCCCGCTAGCCCTTGTGCATCTGATTCCCATGCAACGCTTCTGCGCGCGTATGTAGGCTTTTACCAGATCCCTTGTAATGCAGTATCGTACGTTAGCAAACTCAACCTCTGGTCGCTAGCCTGCTTAGTACAAATCTATTTCCTACTCCATGTAATCACTTGTCATCACCTTAATTGCAGCAGACGTCAAGTTTTTCTTTCTGTGTGTATTAATGCATATTATCCCATTTTATATCCCCTCAAACTCACCACGCTTTGCGAATCTCCTTCCATCCCCTCATCTTTCCAAGCTTTGAACTTCGGAAGTGCCCGTTTTGGACGACCTGGTTAGCTGATATCCACTCCACCTGGCCTATGATCTACAACCCCGTGATCACCAAGCGGACAAAGAAAATCTACAATTCCATATCGGCTTCGATCTTAGTTTCTTTCCCCGACCAAGCCAAAATGAATACTGCTGCCCAATGAACTGCACACCTCAGCCGAATCATCTCAGATGTGACGTCCGTCACGGGGCTGTCCGAAAACTGAAGCATGTCAGGTTAACGATGGCACTGCACTACCATACTCAGTTCGATAGCACACCCGCAACTGTACCATTCCTCCTCCCAACCGAGCCCTCTTGACTACTCGTTCCACTGACTGCAAATACGACAAGCTCCATAACTGGCTCCAACTGCCTCCATGACACTCATTCCAAATAGCTGGACTACTCGTTCGAATTCAGCCATCTCTGTGTCCCCATCTAACCTAACCCCTGCACCTGACGTCCTTACAACAGTGCAACCAGTGAGTCTGCTTGTTCTCAGATTGCACCATATTTTTGAAACTAAACTTGCCATGTTCTCCCAATTCGAATTATCCCATCTCCAGCTCCACTTTTGCTCGCTATGACCCCGGCCATTAACCCAACCGCCCAAGGCCACTCATGGCCAGTAATGGTTTTTAGTTTTAGTTCATGTCAGCCGACCGAGTCTTTGAATTAGTCGAACCTCGTGCTCATTGTTCCCTACAAGTTGCGGGAGAAACTTATTATTATTTCGTCGAATACTTCACACTGTTTATGACGCTGTCCTCTTTTCGCGCAGTCCCCACTATCCACAAATCCTTCAGTCACGCCCCATTCGGACTGTAAACGCATAATTATGCCAGACGGTATGCCACTCACAAGTTGGCAATAAACATTATTAATATTATAACTCCTTACTCCACTCAGCAATTACTTGCCGCCACTTATATCTTGTAGCTGAATAAGAACAGCAGTGCTGTTGCCCCCAACATAACTTGTAAACACATTATAATTAACCGCAATAGCACTCACGCTGAATCAGGGTTTGCTCGTGAACTCCGCCTGTCGGTTCTGGTCACTGTGGTTGTGAACCCGTTATTTTGTAATATTTAGCATCTGGTTATTTCAAAAAGCTCTATCTCAGGCGCGCCCAACACGCCGATAATTCCTCTCTTTTTCAGGCCACAATTAGACCCTTTTCCATGTCTGTCATACAGACTTGAGTCTCATCTTATTGGAGGTTTATGCCGATGTATTACCACCTACCCTAAGAGCAACAATCATGTCTAAAATATCCGAGTATGCTTGCAAACAAAACAGCCACACACGGTGTGATTAAATTTGAGACATTAGAGGTTACTGTATCTCATTGCTTCATGAAACAACCATCGTCCATCCCACATCTAACTGTCACACACCACCACTGTCACACTGCTACTAATAATAATATTTATTCCCAACTANGCCTCCCGATCAGTAGTATCACCGTTACACCAGGACTTTGAAGACATAGTGTTCGTCTCATTATTTCATTGATCGTGAGAATTCATTATTCCATTGATTTTTAGAATTATTTACTAGTTGTGCTACTCATAACCATAACTACCATGACCTGTTTTGAGATTCCCGTGGGTGGCTACTAATGGAGAGCTTGAGTGTACTAGGGCGAAAGTTTATCAGAAGGTTGAATAGATCCTCTGCATCTATGTGGGAATCAATGCCAATCAGAAAACCGCTCTCCTACTTGGCGTAGAATACGGTCGGTTGTTTTGCTTCGCCATTCTTTCTGTCTACTGTGGAAACCTCATCCAGAGCTGATCCCAATGAGATTGTCATGAAAGCCCTATCAGTTTTTTAATGAAGTGAATTCTGGAATACGGCACTGCCGTTCTTGGTGCAAAGCGAAACTGGATGTCTCAGTTGGGTTGTTGGTAGGCCGAGTTTGACGCCACGATGTTCAACGTATAAAATCAAGTTTTGTGTGTGTTGATGAAAACTACGCTGACAAGATATTCAAACTGGAAAGAGCTATTGTCATTTGTGAAGTGCCCTGCATGGCAATTTTCGATTACTTGCGAGCGGATGATTTGGGGACCTTTACCAGCCATCATGCTATTTTGAGCTGTAGTGAGTTCCTGGTAAACAGGATAGATCTGGAATCGTTACCCAATCAACGTATTCTTGGAGGTCCATGAAGCCGAGGCTGTTTTGTACCGACGGGCTTCATGGATCGGACGGTAAATCTGTAAATAAACATACTCCCAGCAGCGTTTGCATTCCGTGTTATTTTTCGCTCCAAGTTTACAGGATTGTCCATCGAAGCGTAGTTTTTGGATTTCAAAGCAACGGTGAATACAAATATAATCAGCGGTAAATCTGTTAAGCTTTCAACCTACTCTGTCTGGCATGTATGAGGTAAAATGAAATAGATCCAGGATGTTGAGCAGCAGTACAGCCCTCGGTGCCGTCTTCAAGTACATCGCTTTGTCCACACTTTGAGAACTCGAAATCCAATTCAAGACTTCCTTCGATATCAGTTGTAAGGATAATTTACACGCTGTTTTGCTAGAAAAAGGGAACCCATGTGGTGAGTAGTTGGGTCCTATCTGAAGGCTGGTTCATATCCCAGTGGAAAATGTTAAGGGACTGGAAATCGGTCCATGTGAGGGAATCATCTCAGTATGGATCATCATCTAGAGCAAAAAATGCCCCATTATTACATCAGCGCCACTATGACATCCTTCTGACTTCACTTCATTTTTGAGCGACAAGAATACCTCAGTCCTCATTACGTGATCATTTAAGAACCTGGGCCATTCAACTGAGATCCTAATCTCGAAAAGGACTCCTGTTGAGCTCGCTCCCTGGTTTTGCTGGATTATGTACAAACCATGAAGCCATCCTCTTGTACGGAAACCCGACTCCGAAGCTCGTTAGAATGAATTCCGGAAGCAACCAGTATAGTCGAACGTGGCTTTTAAACATCTTGGTTCACCACAGCTAGACAGAAATCAGTTGTTAGCAATGTTGTGGAAGGTGAGTAGCTCAGGAGGTGACATCGTCACTTCGATTGGTGATAAAAACGTTTGCAATCCAACTGGCAAGCTCGGCAAACAGACCAACAACCAGAAATCAGTTGTAATGCCAGTGTTCACAGTTCCCAGTTTCAAGCAGCCATTGTGAACGTTTTACAGAATCGTTCTACGTGAGCCTCCGGCAGTCTGTGTGCTTCAGTTCAAAATCTTGTCACGGATATCAGCAATTTCTGTCGACCTAATGTTCTGGAAATTTAAGTAAGAATAATGGACTGAATTTCAACTCAATCCTTTTCAGTGCGCGTTACGCATACCTTTATCCGTCAAATATTTAAAAATGTGCAGACGGTTGAAAGTCTGTTTTCTAAGGAAAAACACACAAAACAGCCCATAGTTGAAAACACTACGCGATACAAATCCATAAAAGGCTACCTCAAATGTGTTGCTGAGGTAGACAGGAAACAAATTTCAACCGTCTGGTTCGTGTGCGGTCCAGCAAAGTGCAAACCGGGCGAGTGAACTGGGTCTATCTCATAGTCGGATGACAACCGAATTTCGCCCCCGTATGCGAGCCTTTAGCTTTTCTAGTGTAACTCGCGTGAAACATAAGGGTTGTGCTAGTACCAACGCGAGTATACGCAGACAGGGACAACCTACGAGCCAATTTTTCAATTCAGATTCTCACGCCGTAATGTTTTAGCTTACAACGCCGAACATCAGAAAGTAGTCAGTTAGCCGGATTGGTATTTTACGATGTTTCCGCGCGTAAAAAACGCTGATACACCAGTCAGCGAACAATGGGACAGTTCGCTAAAAAGCACAACTGAGTATGAAGATTGCATATGTACTTTTGGCAACAGACAGAAACTGCGTCCATATAACCCATTGTAAATTAGCTTGCCATTATCATGATTTCCGAACATGAGCCGTTACTACCCGCACATGTGGATATTGTCAAAAATCTTTTTTCATAGAACCCGAACAACCAGGATATCATAACTATACTCAGACGATTTCGAAGTTGACTTCATCACAAACCAAAGACGTGGCGATGTCTGACTGATATTGACGAAGTTTAGTGATCAAAACCCTTGGCGAATTACTTGAATTATTAGTTTATGGTGTTTTCGGATTTGAGCGCAACGGGTGAAGTGGAAATCTGCCACGATATCTATCACACTGCAAGAACGGGGTTCAGTATTGATTTACAGGTCACGATCTTTAGGTGTACGGCAAGGAAATAACCACGCCGGTTTCTGAAAAACCTGCGAGATTCTCTGTAATTATGATTCTCATGGCAGCTGGGTAGCAAGACGAAGCCCAGTTATTGAGTCTAGTTGAAGCAACTGATCGAAAAGATGAAAGAAATCACACAAAGTAGGTTCACCTAAGTCAGTTTGGTTACATGTGGCAACAATACCAACATTGTATTACAATCTCTCTGGAGCCGAATTAGTTTACAAAGACCAAAGATACAGAACCGTTGTGCCACCACAACACAATAGTCAGATGAAATAGAAACACTGTAAAAAAAAGGTGAACGGAGACACTAGATTTGAAGGTGAAAATCACAAACATGAGGGCTTAAAAACGGCAACCAAATTATGCTAGCGGAAGTCACGAAACCAATTCATCCAGCTAAAGAATCTATGTTTTCGAGCAAACACCGTCTCCACAGGATGCTGTCCCCGCTACGTGCAACTCCCCGACTTCTTTCGGGTCGATTTTCAAAACTTCCATAATCTTGGTATAGTCTGGATGATTGACAACCTTTTCTTGAGCGAACTGGTACAAGACCTTTCCTCCTAAAAAGTAGAGTGAAAAACAGATAAACATGGGTGCCTACGGGAATAACTAGGATTCCGATGTTAATCAACCCGCATCGGAGAAAAGCAATAAAAGACAGTTTAACGCGTGGATATCAAAAAACCGTATGTGAGGCGAAACCATGTCGCAATCTTGATGCACGGGTAACAGAAGCTTTAGTGATATCTCCCAAACGGAGGGCCGTCTGTGTGAACGCTGGAGCAGGGGGTGTATTGGGAGAAACTGTCCAGAGAACGGAACAAAAGGTGGAATACCAAAGAGACTTCAAGCAACATTGAATCATGTCTGGCATGACATTTCATGATTAAATACCACTCGTGACCATCAGACACGAGTTTTGGACGAACGGAATCTTCTAGAACCGCAGCCCCCTCTGAAAAAGACTTTCAGAACCGATACAACCAGTCTCCCAACAGAAAATATAACAGTGGAAATGCCCCATATCAGTGACCCCGATTCATTAGTGGACTACCATTTCAAACCATTCAATTGATCTCCCGTAGTCAACTCCTCTTGATTGGAGAATTCAGGCCTGGATAACCCTCATTCAGCTGTAACACCCTTTCGCTGCCTAGCTGCCATGCCACCCGAAGGAAGCACGATGGCTGGGATACTGCCAGGTTGCCCAAGTCTAGATAGAAGTCGAGATGCAGAGGCAGGGTTCGAACGACGGACCTGCCGGTCAGTGGGCTCGTGCACTAACCACTAAGCCACACAGCAGCATCCACGGTGGAAATGCGGACTGAGGAGAATGCAGCTGAGACATAGCATGGTAGCAACTAAAGGTTTCTCAGGTTCCGAATAATCGCCATTGCTTTTGGTGTAGTATGACAACGCATGACAGGCTGTGGTTCTTAGCTTAGGTAGTTCCTAAATACTCAGATGGCGACAACTATACAGGTTCACCCTGTCGCATTAGCATGTAGACATAAGGAACATACAGAAGAAATGGAAAATTCCATCCCACCCTCATGAAAACTGTTTGACAATACCCGGATGCAAAGAAAATTCACTGGTCCAATGCAGAAGGTATGCAATACGGTCACTCTCTCATGAGGAAACACCCCCGTCAGGGAGGGACACTATGCAATGCCCCCTCGGAAGAATACCGTCATCATTATATTTGATATAGTTGACATTCTTTCCAATACAACAGTCAATGATGTACGGTCGATGGCTTGTTCGCTGAGCTGGACAATTTGATTGCAGACGTTTCATTACCAATCGAGGTGACATCATCAGTGCGTTATTGGGGAGCATAGTTGTGCCAACCACCAAAGCACCGCTACGCACCACTACGCCTCCCGACAGCGCACTGATGACGTCACCTCGATTGATGAAACGTCTGCAATAAAAACTGCCCAGCTCAGCGAACAGGCCAACGATGTATGTTGTTACATCGCATGATGAATGACATCTAACGCAGTGTTGGTTGTTGGATTTCACACTTAACCTTGGTCAATTAATAGTTGTGACAGGTGTGTCCATAGGAATAGCGGAAGAAAGGTACATGTTAGTGAAGCTATAAATGTTGCTGTTGTGTGTACTTTTATGTAAAGAGGTGGGTGAAAAGCCTGATTGGGTACCCACAACGGATATCAGAAAGGTATTCTGATGATAGTCCTATGAATTATGAAGGTCCGCCAAGAATACAGAACGGTAGTGTACATTCAAAAATGACCACTGTGGACTTGATGAAACGTGACATATATTCCAACTAGTAGACAGAACGTGCTATGTCCTATAAAAAGGAATTATGATAGTCATTGATAAGTCTCATTGACTCTTTCCTAAAAAAGGACACGTACAACAATGAACGGCGGAAAGTGATTGCGAAATGTTAGTTCGACCCTAGATGCTGTCGCATGATTTTTAGGTAATCAGTGGCGGTTCAGATCATTGCGGAGTTGTCAGATTAATCCGTGGCCGAAAAGCCACAGAATAACGAAACTGCGCGAACGGAGAGCTTAAACGGTACTGTAACTGTCATCTGGTGTCACTCGGCAAGCTGGCTAGCCAAAAATCCTGTGTGTGTATATATGGCAGCGTTATTCTGTTTCTGTTAGGCAGGATTCCGAATTTCCACTACACAGAAGTGCAATACAGACGATGAGGTTCTCTGGATAGTTAAGCGTATAGTTAGGGATATAACGACGAGGCCGCAACGACAATCGGATTATCTACGATGGGGGACGCTTTAGAACTTTGACGTCACACTGAGCACCCATGGAGATGCACGGAAATGCGTAGGAAAGAGAACTTGGAGGCCACCTAGGCAGTGTGAGCAAGTCAGCGAGCCTTATGGAAAGTGGTCACCCATATCATTTGAATCCGGATTATTATGGGCTGACAAAACAAAAAGCTGTAGGTAGAGATGCAGCAGCTGGCGTTTACATGTAAAATCTCCGTGGGAAATAAGTGGTTCAGAAACAGCAGAGCCTGCAGGAAAACCGGTCTGTTGTTCTTTCAGTCAGTTAAGCTGGATATGCTAAGAGCAGCGGCTAACTCAGTGCCAATTGTAGATCCGAACTAGTCAACAGCGCATTTTCTCACGGCCAAAAGTTAGGACGACACAGTTAGTTAAGCTACGTTCGGTGCACCTTGGTTTATATGTTGTGCCAAGCGATAACACTATGCTGATTTTGTCTTTTTGACTTGCATGAATTACGACATTGAAAACGGATTTCCATCATGAAAAACAGTAGATATCAAATTATAGTACAGTTACAAGTGATTGACTAACGACGGAGGATAGAACATAAAAGCGCCTAGCAGAGACACGGTGTCCAGAGACTCGGTCTTAACTGCCTCCCTGCAACCAGGACGATGCAACCAATATGACACCCAGACGCCTCGTCTTACAGCTCTAGGCTCTCAGCTAGACTCAAAGGTTGGGGTTATCTTCAATGACTGAAGAGAAATCTACTGCACCCAGTTACCATTGTAACGGTGGATACTACTGATGAGGATGCGAGCAGTGTCTTCTCGTAAAACCGCTTCGCGTCTCCTGAATTTGTGGAGTAGCTTTGAACATTTGCTAAGGAATTATGATAGTCATTGATAAGTCTCATTGACTCTTTCCTAAAAAAGGACACGTACAACAATGAACGGCGGAAAGTGATTGCGAAATGTTAGTTCGACCCTAGATGCTGTCGCATGATTTTTAGGTAATCAGTGGCGGTTCAGATCATTGCGGGGTTGTCAGATTAATCCATGGCCCACAAGCCACAGAATAACGAAACTGCGCGAACGGAGAGCTTAAACGGTACTGTAACTGTCATCTGGTGTCACTCGGCAAGCTGGCTAGCCAAAAATCCTGTGTGTGTATATATGGCAGCGTTATTCTGTTTCTGTTAGGCAGGATTCCGAATTTCCACTACACAGAAGTGCAATACAGACGATGAGGTTCTCTGGATAGTTAAGCGTATAGTTAGGGATATAACGACGAGGCCGCAACGACAATCGGATTATCTACGATGGGGGACGCTTTAGAACTTTGACGTCACACTGAGCACCCATGGAGATGCACGGAAATGCGTAGGAAAGAGAACTTGGAGGCCACCTAGGCAGTGTGAGCAAGTCAGCGAGCCTTATGGAAAGTGGTCACCCATATCATTTGAATCCGGATTATTATGGGCTGACAAAACAAAAAGCTGTAGGTAGAGATGCAGCAGCTGGCGTTTACATGTAAAATCTCCGTGGGAAATAAGTGGTTCAGAAACAGCAGAGCCTGCAGGAAAACCGGTCTGTTGTTCTTTCAGTCAGTTAAGCTGGATATGCTAAGAGCAGCGGCTAACTCAGTGCCAATTGTAGATCCGAACTAGTCAACAGCGCATTTTCTCACGGCCAAAAGTTAGGACGACACAGTTAGTTAAGCTACGTTCGGTGCGCCTTGGTTTATATGTTGTGCCAAGCGATAACACTATGCTGATTTTGTCTTTTTGACTTGCATGAATTACGACATTGAAAACGGATTTCCATCATGAAAAACAGTAGATATCAAATTATAGTACAGTTACAAGTGATTGACTAACGACGGAGGATAGAACATAAAAGCGCCTAGCAGAGACACGGTGTCCAGAGACTCGGTCTTAACTGCCTCCCTGCAACCAGGACGATGCAACCAATATGACACCCAGACGCCTCGTCTTACAGCTCTAGGCTCTCAGCTAGACTCAAAGGTTGGGGTTATCTTCAATGACTGAAGAGAAATCTACTGCACCCAGTTACCATTGTAACGGTGGATACTACTGATGAGGATGCGAGCAGTGTCTTCTCGTAAAACCGCTTCGCGTCTCCTGAATTTGTGGAGTAGCTTTGTAACATTTGCTGGCATTTGAGTAACAGTCAATGAATATTCAGGAAAGTTCAAGAAGATGGATATTCAGTTTTGTAAACAAGATGCATATGAGCTTTGCTTCCCTGTCCAATAGTCTGTAACTGTTCACATAGTTTCTCTAGTAAACAACTCCGCGGCGAAGGCCTTCTTCCTTCCACCACTACATATGCTGGTTCACTGCGGAGAACCTTCATAGACAGACAATGCTCGAACGAAGGTAGCAGTCGAACAACCGATGCATTCGCCCTGTCGTCGGCTACCGCAGTCATTGATAGCAGAATCTTTTGAACGCAGGTCACCTGATAAATTTCTATTTATTCACTAGAACTCACGTTTCCTGAAGCCTGCCATACTATAAAAACTGATACATTTAGAGCCTTGTGAGTCCGTTAGGAGCTCGATATGACATTTACACTACTCTGGAATTAGCATGATTGTCTACATTGTCACTGATTGACCAGTCCTCTTTCTACTGCAATAAAACGATAAAAGTCCGTTTCCCGGCTATCAATAATTTAGTAATCACGACCCGATACGAAATTCGATGGGCTTCGATTGTCTTATTGTGCTGTTCACATTTGCCTTTTCGTGGAGGAGAGATTACGTCTTGGCATTTGTTGATACAGAGTGATCAGTGCCACTACAATAGGGAAAATGAGTAGCGGTAGTGTCTACTGCAAAGTATATTTCACTCACCACTTACAAGGGGTCTATGCTATCGTTGGAAAACTATAAAGAACAAGATACAGAGAAGTCAAACTCGGTACCACTGGTAATATCAGGTACATTGCTCAGCCAATGAATCGAACTGCACGTGTATACCATCTGTTCCCGCACACGAGGAAAACGTTTAAGTCCAGACAAACCCAACAGCAACAGATGCCTAACTGGACTAAATTCACTATGGCATAGAGCACAGAAGTCGCAGGAAGTGGGAAGTCGTATGCATGACACAAGTGTGAGTACTGTTCCCCACCGCAGGATTAGAATATTTCTTCGTCCTTCACCAGCACATCAGAAGAAACGAATGATATTGCCATAAATAAACTTGGCATTATCAACATCATCATTGACAGCAATACCAGATATAAACACCGGAACTTCACTGCCGTACAGCCTTGTTAATTCATTTGGATAAAGCTTTATAACGGAAGGAAAAAGTGGGACAGCGGGGAGGGCTAGCTTACAACAAACACCCGAGGTGCGTACGCTTCCAATACTAAATCGGACAAGCTGGATAGCCGTCACATCGTTCAGTGTCTCCAGTCAAACGCAGCTAGGATCACGTGGACCTCATCCTGGAAGCTGAACAGGACTAACACCACCCTTTCCGTCTAAAATGCTCAATTCTGTCCACATCTAGAATTGCGCCACTATGAATAACGCACGGAAAACGGCGTTCGTCTCGGAACGGGGTAACTCGGCATGCACAACACACGGCCCGAACATTTTACGTTGCCGTGACGAATGCATTCTTTGGTTCTGGCCGATTCCACTTATACTTCTGAAACATCAGTAGTTAAAGGCCTGTCTCAGACCCTAAATCCGAAGTGATCAGGTTCCGCAGCCATGCAACAATCCACTCCAGACTGTGACCGGATACACGCATCCTTGGAGACCTAGCGATTCGCCATTTTGATGCCACAAGTGGCACCGAATTGGGAGCTATATTTAATAGCACCATTGAGCACCAACGCTCAACCAGTATTGGTTCTACTCACCGCTAACAAAATAATACGTTCGGGGAGACAAGTTATCAATGAAGCATTTTAACAGTGCTGTCGTTAGGTGGCACATACTTCGCGATATCGGGAAGAAATTCCGTGCTGTCGTTTAAAGCTGCCTGCTGAATGGGCCAACACAATAAATTACCGGTAGGCTTCCACCATAAATTGCAGTCATTACATGAACAAGAACAGCTCACACGCCAGAAATTAATTCAACGAGGCGATCAGGACTACAGCGTTCATTACTTTGATGCTAATTGTGAACAGGCAATCGATCTACTGGAGGAAATCTGACTCGAATCGTAGAATCTTACCTTTTTCGACGACAAGTAAGCCACCGGTTTGCCAACCGTCACCAGAGAAATTGCCTGACACATGCGCAGCCTGTGTGCCGAAAAAAATGGTGCATACATTGAAGTCCATGAGAAATGACAGCGTCTAAAAATAACCTTTTGCATTCTAACATTCACATGGGCAAAAACATCACGTGTGTAGCGAATGAAAAAAAGATGGTTAGAAGCAGTAGTACCTAAGCAGATTTTATGCCTGATAACAAACTTTGATTAATTTTTCAAACAAGATCTGTTTGCCCAAGAAAATAAACTCAGTGAAAATCGATGAAGCGGTTGATCGATGATGATCATTACTGACAGATTTTCAGGTTTACAGCTAACAGTCGGTGACCAAACCTGGAGAATATAGGCCAGCGAGTAAGTTTAAGTTATAGCTTAACAAAGATGCTTTGTGGGAGAATTGTGTGACTGGTGGTTAAACGGTAAGCCTTTGATTCAGCTCTGGCGGTTGACAGTTTCATCACACAGTGGAAGAAGAAGCCTGCTGGGATCCGTACAGTCACCATCTGCAGACAACTGCTAGAGGCAACACATGACGGAAGAATTTTGTGCCCCAGACAAAATCCTTGTACTAACCGATGTAGGTTAGGATTGTTTGATCCAATAACGCTGAGTACTCCCAAGCGATTCCTCTGCACAACATCATGATTGAAAAATTCTGCTGTTCAGTCGGCGAAACATGAGCGGAACGCTCCTCGAAAGTATCCCCGTTACGGGCTGGTCATCATGGGAAAAAATAACTAAACTACCAAGATTTATCTGACAGTTGAAAAGTAGTTATATGATTCAAGATGCTGCACGGCTGAGGAGCATTACCAACGATGTGGAAATTCGGTGTTGAAATACCTAGAGACAGAGGACACCATCCAGTAAAGATTAGCCAGCAATCTTCATTTCTATTACATGCGAGATTGCAAGTCCCGGTCCTGTCGATGAAGTGAGGTGATTAAGAACACGGTCGCTCTTTAAGTTTTCCAACGGTAAAAGTTCTCCGTGATTAGCCTTTTTTGTGAGGGGGGTGATAAAGCCTGGTGAGAAGGCAGTAAGCTTTTATGATGTCTTGAACTATGAAAGATTACTACAGCATGCGCACTTGACTGAGATACGCTCCGTAATTTAACCAAATATACTCGCAAGAGATAGATTACCTTGACCACCATCCCCTACCTGATCGTCTATCTAAAAAACGACAGAACCGGTTTCCTTTCTGAAGTTACTCTGAAAGGAATGCTTCGTGGAATGATGAGGTGTTGTCACTGCCTCCAGTAAATCAAAATGCTTCAAATCTATGGTGAGTTTGCCATTGTTTAAGTGATTTCCATGAGATTTCTCCAAGTGACTTGACTTTGTTTCTTAGTGTGCTGTGTCACACGAGGAATAGGAACTCGTACTGAGTCAGAAAGAAAAGAGCGGCGAGAAATGATGGACGAACCAAGAGATAAACATCACTTGGATAATACTTGTAATGAGAAGAGTATGTCTCAAAAGAGCACTACTTATAAAATCTATGGAAATTCTTCCAAAGACTATTTGGTGAGCCCAAAGAACGGCGAAACAGGTCGTGGACTATCAAAGAGCTTTCAGTGACCTTATGAGTAATGCTTCTCCAAGGAAATATACTCGTATATCTGAAACATGAGACAGCCTTTGTGCAGCAGCTTCTGCTGAAGAATATCATAAACGAAAGATCCAACCTGGCTTCAGTTGAAACCCCGTGAAAAAGATATTGGTGTGCAAATCAGTGAATTTGACGAAAATATACCTTGTCTTAGTTGGTATAGCGGTTCATAGTATGGAGGCGCGCATTGAAATTAGATGATAAAGTAAAACTCGTAATTTAAAATCGAGAATGAAAGACGGTCTGTTCTGCACGAACACCATCGGATTTTCACTAACTCACATTCGCCACAGAGTTCAGATTCCGGCCAGCTTTAGTGAACAACGACTTGAAGCCTGACAGACCTGATACACGTTTGAAATCCATAGCTCGATAGGTACTTCGATCCGGATCCAGAAACAGTTCTAATGGGTGAAAAAGAAATTGTAACTATCGTCAACCTGGTCGAGAAGATGCTGAAAAACGACGCTGGCGGTGAAAGATATGCTATTCAAAATTCCTCCTACTCTAATTTGTCAGTAGTTCATTGAGTGAGCTTAACGTTCCATTCACTTCTGCGCACCCTGACTTGTCTCAGCGAATGACCTGCGAATGACCGGATTTCTCAGAAATCCTAGGCAAAGCTTATGAGTCTCGGAAAGAGGCAACTTATGAAGAGTGGTCTCCATGGTAGACATCTATAAATCAGAGAAAAAACTGACGCCAAATATCCAAGTATCCGCAGTCACGCAGTCGTAGTCTGGATCCAAAGCAAGAGCATGCAGGGGTGACGTAATAGCTGTGATCTCGAAGTAACAGTGTGGTTATATACACTTACGTATGATGCCTGACACAACGAAGTCTGCCGACTTGGTTTTAAGATGGTTGATTTTCCGGCACATAAAAAACGAGTTCAGAAGGGTGCTGAATTGATGCAATAAGATTTAGGGGCAAAGATTCCACCATAGCGTTTCAGAGTGCATGAATGTTTTTCGATGGTTCTTGCACTTCCTTGATTGGAGCAAAAAATCGATGTCTCTAAAATGACCTTAAGAGATGTACAGAGTGAAATGACTACGGACTTTCCCTTGCAGTGTGCATGAACGGCGACCCACAAGGTCGTAATGGTAGATCAGTGGGTGTTCAGGCTATGTTCATACGCCACGCTAGATTGAATTGCATTCAGCGGGTCTATTTTTAATCAATTCAACTGACCACCTTTCGCAACGTCATTCACATAGACGACGTTACAAAGTACCGTCAAGAAGAAAAGGTGTTCACCGTAGATGGTGAAGTTGATCAGCATCGCAAGGTTGGAGAACCCACCTAGATTATCCCTAGAAGACTGACGAAGTAAGCAACAAGATACAAAAAACAATAACGGTTGCACATTCGGAGTTCGCAGATTAAATGAGAATGAAGTTTCGTCCGTGGTGTAGTTAGTAGGTGTGAAGAATCATCAGATGGTGTGAACCACGATGAAGTTATGAGAGGCAGCTGCGTAAATAAGTTTTTCCAGGGTTAGATATAGTCAGCATGATCATGGGAAACGAGCGGCGCGAAGAGACCGAATCTTATCGCGGTAGCTTGCGTTCTTCAGTAACCCATTGGGTTGTAGTGGAGGATAGCCATTCAACGTCTGTAGAGTTTCTCCTACTGGGTCAGGTTGGTGGTTGGAACAAGTATGGCAACTTATTCTTTAAAATTTGAGCTGTTCGAATGGTCTCACACCGAAAACCACTAGCTTGAAGTCAGCCTTTTGGGCCAAAGACTTCGGTAGAAAAACCTAATCGTCCTCCTGTCTAGGTCTGCGCGTCCTGCCGAGCTGTGCATTGCTGACGACCTCAATATGCACCAAGCTCATTGACAAATACCGACGGCGCATACCACGCGGCAATTTTTACAACTGTCAACTCCTTGTATCAAATTGTCCCGCTTCCAACTGGCATTTCGGATCATGATGGCGATCATCAACGGCCCCTCGATCCATTCTTAGCCACCCACTGCGATCTATGCGGTACCATCTTTTCGGCGTCAAACGGCTTCCCCGGTAATGCATTCAGTCTACCTCTCCATCCCGCCCTATCTGGAGTTACTGTCTTGCTCACTGGGATGGAACGTATCAGTCCCGACTAATGGACATTGACCTTCTTCTTACAGTTGGGATGTATCCTCCTTTTACTTAGTCTATCCGTCCTACCATAACAAATGTTCTCCGGAACTCCTATCTGACGCAGTGCTAGTGCAACTCATCTCATCACTCCTAGTTACTACTCAGCAGTGGAAAAACGCCACTATTTCAAATGGCTTCATTTGCTTCAGAATCTTCAATTATTTGAAATTCGGGTTGATCCATACCTGTCCAGTCGTATCTGACCCTGCTTTATACTTCTGACTGCCATTTCTCTGTCTCTTAGATGTCTCAGTATGGTTTTGTTAGCCCCTTCTGCTCACTTGATATTCCACTCTATTCACTAAAGAACGACTCAGAAAGTGTAGAAATGCACCTGAAAAACAGGACAAACTGCAAGACAGTCAGAGGCATTTCCTACAGAGTAGCCCATTTATTATGCTCGTCACTTTAAGGAACTCCGAAAAAATAGACCATAGGTTGGTCACTGACACTGACTATGGAAGAAGCGTAGCTTAGTGCGTACCTGCAAACATCCTAGATGAATACACCCTTGAAACTGAAAACCGGGAACGCTGAAGAGAATCGCCACACGAAACAAAACAACGAGCGCGAAATATTTAAATTTTACTTCGGCACTAAATTTCTTCTATGCTTAGGTACAGTAGAGGATTACATGAACATAGTTGTGTAACAAGAAATGACAACGATACCCATCGTATCTTCCGAAAAATGTCTAGTAACTAGCCAGTTCAACCATCGCGAGTTGCTCATAGTTGTTAGAATCAATTCAGTCTATCAGCTATAAACCGTGTACCGTAGGCACGTTCGTTCCAGCTGTTCCAGCTTCGATCACGGGGATAGAAGAGAGTGTGCGACATACAGCCAAGCCTTGGTTAGTTCGGTAACTGGGTAGCTTTGATGCACAACCGCCATTGACTGCGCGATTGGGCCATCTCTGCTGATGTCATTAACCATTGGTGAGTTGAGTCCCGGGGTCCCCATCCAAGGAGGCGGCAGTTTTCGATCCAACTAGTGTGTTACCGTACTTCGTTGCCAGATCATACACTGTCCAACTCTCGGTCGCTTTCACTCAGCACAGGGCTGCAAAAAAAGAGCTGTGAGGCAGACGGTCTTCTGGCACGCGGAGTACACGTCCTAACCAGCGCAACCTATGAAGCGTGAGTAACTTATCTATCGCGTGAAAGTTTCTTTTTCCTAAAACCCTCTGGCGTACCTTAGTATTACTAATCCGATGTTTCCACCATATCTGACCAGTGGTTCGGAGACACCGATTGTCAAACACCGGCACCCTTCGTATGTCCTCTGCGCGTGCGGGTCACGTTTCTGATCCATTAATCAGTACGGATCGCACCACTGCAGTGTAAACTCTGCCCTTGATAGACAGTCTGACGTCACGTTTGCGCCATAGGTATCGTAGGTTGGCAAAGGCTTCCTTGGGCTTCCCGATTCAAGACGTGATCCCATTTCCAGCCAGTCCACCGGTGTTAAACAGAAAGATTGAAGCATATCATCGACACCGAGGACAAGAGGTTCAAAACCCGTTATGATAGAATCATTCCATACAGACCTCGGACCATCCGCTTTAAATGACTTACCACCCTTGAAGAAGTTGCCATCTACAAAGTCCTTGACTCCATCCTCGTCAAACGATATTCCAACCAATCGAATCCGACGCTTATCGAATGCCGGTTTCATTTGACTCAGATTGAGTGCCTCGAGGCGACAAAACTTGCATCCGAACCGACGGAAAATGGCAATGACACATGTCTGGTCCTGTAGAAAAGATTTGGAGGAATTTAGCTGGAAAATCTGTCTCAGTGGGATGTGGCCAATCAACCGATTATTTAATAACCAATACCCTTTAAATAAAACTCATAAAACAAACAGGTTATCTGTTGTCCATATATACACACCACTTTTTATTGGAAGCCTTTTCGTGTCCCGATACGCTTATTCTAATTAGTCCAAACTCGTAACCCTCCAGAATACTTATTGTTAACACTAGAAGGATTTCTGTTCAACCGGATCAAAGTTACACTGAACACCTGCAGAAAATCAATCGAAGAGATCCTGCTCATAGCCTTCCAAGTATTCCAACCCGACCTAAAGCTGCCAACTTGACGTGGTGGTCGGGCTTGAGTGCTGCAATGATCCCGCGGGCCAAGCTGGCTGGAACCTCGTTCCACAAGGTGAAACCATACCAGGAAAGCCAAAAGGGAGCAGTCAGACCAAGAGCAGTAAGACCCCGTACTAGGAGTCAGTCTTGGGGTAAAGTCGTATTGTGCCATACGATAAGATTATGAAGGTAGTAAGGTGTTTCCCCCAGGCGACCAGCATGTCCATATTTATGGAAGCGGCGATGCTGCCTTCCCCCGAGGAAGGACGGGTTAGAAAGTTGGCCCCAAAAACCGCAAACCCCGATCGCCCTACGGTTGACCGTGACCGCCGGTGCATTATCCAATACGATCGAAATACTTCAAAACCAAAGAGCCCGGTGCTGCCCAGTTGGACCACGCGGCCAATAGCTACAGTTCAAGATTACCGTTCCTTCTGGATCACACCACTTGATTCCGATCACGGCGTGGTGCGTGCACGCCTGATAGTTCGCTCCTCTTCAGGTACTCGCAAATTAGCAAGAAGCATTCCAATCCACTATCTTCGAAGAACGAAGATAGCTTGACAGTACCGATCTGAGCTAGCCCAACAACTCTCCACAGTAAACCAATACTGCGGTGGCAGTGAGCATTTGGATCAAGCGTGGCAAAATGTGAAAGGAGCCATGTTAGCGGCGTTCGGTGCTGTCTGTCTGACTTCTCCAATTCGACCACAAGACCACTGGATGTCATCGAGATCGCTATCCATGAGTGATGCCAGGAAAGCTATACTAGCAGGCAACGAGTAGGACGGCGCACGCTAATCCCTCAAACGTCAAATAATGAAGAGTCTAAGGAAAGAAAAGCTTTCAGTATGAGTAACTTTCAAATGCCCTCAGCAACGCAAAGAAAAAACCTGTAGAACCGGAGAAAAGACAATGCTCAGAGGTCCGTGAAAATAAAGTTAGAAATGTCTAGACTGAACACCACACATGCGAACTTTTGTTGGGCTCCAGTGTTAGAAAAACATGGTATGCGAGAGCTACTATGACTTCCACAAACCTCGACAAACTCGGTAACACTTTCATGAGTTCGGATACACACCGTAAGCAAACAGTCCAGATAATCAGGCCGAACTGACAGAAACCTGATGACAGAAAACTAGTCAGTCGGATATGGTGTTCCCTCTGTGTCAGAGCACCATGCTTCAGAAATTCCGCTCCAGTGTGTTGGCTGTTCAGTTGTGTCTGAGAAAACTCTTGTACTGCCGAAAAATGGAAAACGCCTAGAACGACTCTAACACCCGATGCCCGTCAACGCAACGATCCAATGAGATTTCTTCCCATTCCATGCGTCTCTTATTGGAAACGCTGCAGCGTCTACTGCTTAGCCTCCGCTACGCGGTTCTGTTGATTCACATCAATTTGCGCATAAGGCGCAAACGTGGATGTAGTTGCCTGTCTCCACTACACAATTCTTAAGGCTTCAGACATAGAAAAAAAGCATTTTTGAGTCTGCTTTATGGTCCCAGTAGTGCTTTTGGTTCAGTCGATCGGGAAGAACAACCAAACACCCCTTTTATTCCATTTACACCACCACCTTACCGACCGACGTTGAACCAAACTGGTAGTCTAGTTGTAGAGTCTAGCTAAGAACGGTGGCGTGCCCCAAGGCACTGGTTTATAAGCGTTTCTATTAACTTCTTACACAGACGCATTGAAACATTATGTAAAGCGTGATTTGATAAAACATGCGACGACGTTGTTTACGTTACTGGACGCCTGCTCGTTTAGACCGGACATTAAAACCGTGCGTCAATGGATGCGAGACCGTGATACAGTTAAATACGTCTAAAAGTACCAAAATTACGTTCACACTGAGGCGTTAGTCCACCAGTTGTGGCCCTAACTATTGTCAATGCTGTCCACTACAAGCCAATTGCTTTGTGACTGCTATGGATTGTGGAAAGACATTCAGAAAATCTTTTAAAATCCAGAGATCATTATTTCATCCGACGGCTTTCTTTCCTTCCCGTTTAGTAACCCGAAAATTGAAAGCCGCCACTTCCTACCGATTATTTCATACTGTTCACCCGTCGCTTAAGTGGAATGCTGAGAGAAGACTACGCTATCGATAACGAGATATTCGCTTTTTATGAGCTTCTAGTAACTTTCATTAGTTTCCTGGTAGCTAAGTTGAAAAACGAAAGCCTGTAAGAACCTTCGTAATAAACACCGCCCGCTGAGTTCAGATATGATCGGTTGCCTCCCATAAGGTTCCTTGTGCAGCACCGTGTGCATTTACACATCTACAAAAACAATGGCTTCTTATCTTACTCCTTTGATAAACTTCAAAACCGAATTTTTGGAATTATTACATGCAGGGTTCTCCAAAGTGATGCATATTCGTCACATTGAGTCTCCCGTGTTTCGCCCCTAGGTTATTTGCCGTATATTTGTTGTTTACATACACACGCCTCATGTAAAACAGGTTTGCTTGAGAAGTTGCCAGAAACAAGGAATAAAGAGCATTTCTTGCCTTGTCTCGCTGTGACTGAGCAGGCGCTCAGTACGTCCTCCTAGACTTTTCGTAAACTGGCTTCTCCTTGTCATCATCAAGGACAGCAACATCAGTGTTGGCACTGATGCTTCATTGCCGTAGGTTCCCCATCGGTTTCCATTCATCACTGATCACATAGTGAACATCAGTCGCTGACCCTTTATCAAAACGAACTGCAACCCAGGTAGTGATCAACACCAACGACCGGTACTCCAGTGGGCTTTTTCACATTCCGCCCGCTGGTGTCCGAGGGAACGTGTATTGTATAATGGTGTGAAGACGAACCGTGTCCACTATGTGCGCATCAATCATACTACTGCTGTTTCCTAGTTCGCATCGCGCACTCGTGTGGCTGTCAAGCAGTCGACTATGAAAAGAGGCGCGGAAAGCCAATCGCAAGACAGCATCTGTTCGAGTTGTTTGGTGCATGAAAGAGAGCATCGAACACCATGAGCTTGGTGCAACACTGGTAGTAATGTTCCCGAACGCCAATTAAAAACACGCGATGAGAATAAGTTTTTTGAGGTCGATATACCAACCTTTAAATGTCGCATGACGTGACGGCCGGGCCTGTGAGCTACCACGACCTGAAAACTACGCCGTCTATAACGTTCTTCCACAAGGTTCAAACACAACAGAGATGCCAATGGATAGCAGCAAGACCGACTGCAGAAACTTCTTCCTTTGATAACCGTGCTCATCAACTAGCCATATAACTTACGGTATTGAACAACCGATTACGTTTCTTGCGAGGTCTTGCTACTCTGTAGACGTCAAAAGCTTATGAACGACAGACCATCGGGTTTATCAGCAACGCTAATGCAGTCTACCGCAATAGTTATTTTTGGAGCTCAGTGCCTGTTGTCAGGGTGGATGAAGAAGAGTAGAAAAGTTTGCACGAATCTCCGACCATCCACTGACAACTAAAAAACCAAAAATCTGTATGCACTGTTAATACATTAGCTGTACAGAGGGACGAGGTGGGCATACGTGTTGATTCTGATGAGATGAGAAGTTCAATGTATTTAACTACTGTTGGTAGTGTGGGGAGATCGAAAATTATCGGCTGGAAGTTCGTTCCGCTTTTGTTGAGAAGCCGAGGAACACCGTACAGAGGTTGCGTCCTTATTACGAAACATCAGCAATTAGCATCTCACGAAAATTCAGAGAGCATCAAAACCACGAGAATCAAACACTTAGCCCTTTCGCCCCTGAAATTTTTCAGCCATCGCACGCGGCGGACCGTAGACAAGTCAATGACGCGAGTCAGGTTCATTCACCAAAATACTATGTACGGCGCAGGGTGGCTCCCGAAATTTGTTTGGGCATGTTATATATCGGATCATAGGTCATTCGCAACAACAATGGTTGTGACTAGAAAGAGGACAAAATTTTTATGACGGTTGCCGTGTACCCAAAGAACAGTAAGAAGATGAAAGAATGATAACTAGGTGGCAAACGTGTGAAGATGACCATTGCTGTTAGGTTGAAGCCGATTTGCTGAGTGTGTAAATAAAGTCACCCCAATCTATGCTGCTAGAAATAGTTCGCTTGACACGTAAGGTTTAGAATGCGGTGTATATGCCGAACAGCCTTGATGGTAGTAGCCTGCAAGACAGGTCAATATATCGTGGCCACTATTACGCGCGCAACAGTAGACTCGGCGACCCTGAACACCGGCGAACCAGACAGCTTGAAAATTGATCAACTGTGCGTAGCCATATTTTTCTAGACAGTAAACATTGTTAAGTCACACAAGTTGTGCGTATTAGGGGACTTCCAGGGCGCACGACTGGATATGCATATATAGTTCAAGTGTAACACTTTCGGTGCATAGCTGCTATGCCACCCAGAAAATACGAGGGTTAAGACACTGCAGGTTGCCCAAGCCTAGGCAGGAGCGGTCGAGATGCAGAGATCGGGTTCGAAGCACGGACCTCCCGGTCAGTTCGCGCCTTGACCACTGAACCCTCATGTATGATGATGTGTTAATAAAGTCAATATAGACGATCATACTCATTTTAGTATACTGCAGGTCATGAGACATACATCACGCAAGTCGTGCTGCTCGCAGGTTGACACCGTTGGTAGTGCGGTCAAACTCACTCAGTTTGTGACTCCACAACGTGTGATCCGCAGTAATTCGACATCGTAGAGTAGCGCTTGGTCATCCGGAAAAGTCTTCACATCAAACTTGATGCAATAACCGATTATATGTACAGAGCAGTAATGGACTGTTTCTTAAAGATTAGAAGGCTTCACGGTCGTCCTTGTAAATGGAAAGACTGAACTGTGTCATGAGTGGGAGCTACATCGGTGACGTAGATTGGTCATTTGACAACCGCTTCAAAAGCCATAATGGGTACACGCTTCGCTAAGATGAAGCATTCTCTGCACACGACCAGTACACTGACAAGCTATAAAAATCACTTTGAACCTCGTGAGTTGGCAAATGACTAACAGAAGAACGAGAAAAATCAATAGGAGAATCGAGAAGGATTGATCCAACTGCCGTGAACTTCGTGTTGTAGTATTCAGGAAATCACTAAAACAAGCCACATAGGTGCATTTATCGGTCATACCACGGGGCAGTGAAGCATCAGTGTTGAACACTGATGTCATGTTGTCGATGTGTGTGTGTGCATACCACGGCACGCTTATCACTGATTAGGGTGTGAACTTAGAAAACTACCCGTCAAAACATTTGCCGGTGGTACATTTAGTCCACCTACATGAAGCTATCACATTTAGTCAGTGGGCCCTTAGACTACTCACCATAAAACGGGACCGAGTTTGGGAACCAAATGTAATTTTATCCCCAGTTAGGATCAGTCTAGTGGGTGGAATGCTAATTTTTTAACAATGCTATGAATATTTTGCATCGAAGGCCGTACCAGCGCTCCTCAGAATTGACTGGACAGCACTTTGTCAGCAGCGAAAATTTTTATCGACAGCTGCGACTAAATGCTTTTAAAGCGATATCACGCACTTCGCAGGAGAAAAACCTATACTGAAACTAACGTAATCCAAAAATACATAAATTTTATGAAGCGTAATTCTTATACGATACACTTTAGTTAGAGCTTACTTCATAAAAACGTAACGCCCATGCACAACAATTAAGCATCTACGAGTGTTTTTACAAGGATGGTGTTCTGTTTTCTCACTGCGTTCAATAGATGCCCCATCTACTGGTGCTAAGGTAGGATCCGTAAATTTCGGGACGGGTGCACGCATTCAGCAAAGTGGAACAATAAACACCGAAGAACCTGTACACCTTATTTAGGGTGTAAAAAATATCTACAACCTGGCTCCCTCAATAGCTTCCCAAATTCTCAAGCCATTTTATTTCATGTACCACAGTCTTCTGGTCCGATCATTTGGCGCAGAAAGATGGGGTGCGTCTGACCGTACGTCAAAAGATGGAAACTTTCGCAGAGAATGAACAATAT